ATTTTAATATACTGTAAAATGTAATTTATTCCTGTGATGCAAAGCTGCATTTTCGGCATTATTACTCCAGTCTTCAGTGTCACATGATCCTTCAGAAATCATTCTAATATGCTGATTTGCTGCTCAAGACACATTTCTTATTATTATAAAAGTTGAAAACAGTTGTGCAGCTTAATATTTTTGAGGAAACTATGATACATTTTTTCAGGATTCTTTGGTAAATAGAAACAGCATTTATTTTAAATAGAATCGTTTTTTTGTAAACAGTCTTTTGTGTCACTTTTTATCAATTTAATGCTGAATAAAATTAATTTATTTAAAAGAAAATAATTCTGACCCCTAACTATTGAACTGTAGTGCATTTCAAAAGTAAAATGTTTTGCAAGTGCCATTCCATTGACTGATCCTAGTACATTTTTTTATTCAGTGCATTTCTCTAGATGGTTTTGAGAGCCTTCCATTCTTAAAGGGTTAGTTCATCCAAAAATGAAAATTAGCCCATAAATTACTAACCCTCAAGTCATCCTAGGTGTATATGACTTTCTTCTTTCAGACGAATCCAGTCGGAGTTATATTAAACATTGTCTTTGATCTTTCAAGCTATGTATATATGGATATGGATATTTTTCTTACAAAAACGCATCGATTCGCTACAGGAGGCCTTTGTTCACCCCCCGGAGCCGTGTGAGACATTTTTTTTATGGATGGGCGCTTTTTATTTAACTTCTTTTAGACTGATGCATGCAACACCCGCTGAGTGGCATTAAACAGCTTGAAAGATCAAAGACAATTTTTAATATAACTCCGACTGGATTCGTCTGAAAGAAGAAAATCATATACACCTAGGATGACTTGAGGGTGAGTAATTTGTGGGCTAATATTCATTTTTGGGTGAACTAACCCTTTAATGACCCCTAAAGACTGGATGGCTATTGGATTGGAGAAATGCCTCTGGGAAAGCTCAGATACAATGTTTTGACTGTAAATGGAGTTTGTGCCATGAGTGTGTGCGTGTGTTTGCGCATACATGTTGAGGTCAGGAACTGCGTGAGTGCAAGGGGCAGCTCAGTTTGGTGACAGTCTGGGAGCCGCTGCCCAAATCCTAACGGTTTCCTTTGGCTCTCAGCCTGGAGAGAATGATGGAAACGGGCCGTCGGCCAAGTGACTTCATAGCGCTGTACTGCAACTAAAAATCACCATCTTTACAATCAGCACAAACCAGAGATTTTTAAGCTTTGCGCAGTTTTAAGACGCAGATCTTGGAAACACAAATGGTCCTGTAGGAACACAAATTAGATTCAAAATGTCCCACTAACTGATTAACGTGTTCTTATCGTGCCATAAATTTTATCCCGAAGCAATTGCTTTTGTATTATAACTTTTTTGTATTCCCGCTGCATGCATCGAGAGCCAGCGCACAGTCTGTGCATTTTCAAACCAGATGTGTTTTTATTGGGTACACTTCTGAATGCTCTGCGCTCGACAGAGTCTGCTGGCACTGCCTTTTTGGTTTCTCCCCTAGCGCCGCAAATATGCAGTGAGAACGGCAGCGGTGCCAGATTCTGGAAAGGGACACTGGGCCATGTTTGGCTCTGAACAGACTTCAGGGTTTGGGCCTGTGTTATGGAGAGCGGTTTGAAGCAGCTTTAGAGCATCACAAAATATAGTGGTTGACATGTAAGTATGCAGTTTTGTGTTTGATGTTATTCTTTTTTAGACAGACATATAGATAGATAGATGGATGGATGGATATTCTTAAGAGTGTAAATGCCTCTTATATCAGTCTTGTTTTATATATTTAAATGTCAGTCTCTTTTGCATACGTATAGCTCAGTGGCAGTTAGAGATGCAAATGTTTATTTTGTATTCAAGCTGGTTTGGTTTTTAGTCCCCTTTCCTTATTCACGGAGTTGCTTTTTGAAACAAAGTCTCTGTTACTGTACATACTGAATGCGATTGCATTGAATTTTATATTTGTGCATTATGTCTAATGAAGTGTTATAGGTTAAATATGCCATATTTCAGTTATTTTGATACATTGGATCACTATTAATATATTCTGCATAAAGTTTTTTTTACTACTTTAAAATGCAACAGAACACTCTAAGAGCTCAATAGTTTGAGGTCAGTAAAAATTATTACTTTTGTTCAGCAAGGATGTGTTAAATTGATCAAAAGTGGCAAGACTTTTACACTGTTACAAAAAATTCTAAAAATAAATGCTGTTCTTGTGAACTTTGCATTCATTAGAGAATGGAAAAAAATGTATCCTGGTTTTGGAAAAATATTAAGCAAGCGCAAATCATCATATTAGAATGATTTCTGAAAGATCATGTGACATTGAAGACTGGAGTAATGATACTGAAAATTCAGCTTTGCATCACAGAAATAAATTACATTATAAAGTATACTGAAATAGAAAACTGTTATGTTTAATTGTAAAAATATTTCACAATATTAATGTTTTTACTGTATTTTTCTCAAATAAATGGACCCTTTCTAAGCATAAGAGACTTCTTTCAAAACCATTAAAAAATCTTACCAACCACAAATGGATGTAATTGTTTTGTGCATAATTTACTATTAATATTTTTCCTCAAATCATCTCGCACATTTGATCTCTATACGTGCCGTCTTTGACTCCCCTGGACAAAAGGATCTGATTTTAGTGTGAACAAAGCTAAAGAAGGGACTCATTCATCCAGTGAAAACATCTCGTACACTTTATAATTAAACAAACCCTCAACCTATTCGTTCACAGTCTGAAAGCTGTGCATCTTGTTTAGAGTTCTACCGCTTATGCTTCAACAATACAGCTATTTTCATTTATAATCTCTTTAATCTTTGTTGGAGTTTCAGCAGCAGTGGGTGTGTGATATCAACGACTCACTATGATGGGAACTGCTGTACGGATAACCCAAAGAGTGTGTGTTTGTGCTCTCTGGCCTGTCTGTAGTCAGGGCTTGTGTTCGGGACAACAGACGACAGTGTTCTCCACTGCCTTGTGCCTTCCCAGAGGCACACAGTGGATAGTCAGAGCTCTGGCATGGACGTGCTCATCAATGGAGCGTTGTGCATTGTTAATTGCTTTAAAACTGTGCACGGTCACTTGGTTTTTGAGGGTGTGAACATAATTAGTCCCTGGCCAGGATGGAAACGTGAACTGCTCTTGGGTCAAATCAGAAGCCATTTCTCTCGTTCTTCACGTTTTTCTCCTGTATTTCTCCTGCTTTTCAGTGTGCTTTCCAGCCGGGTGAATAACCATCAGCGGTGCAGGTCGCTTTAATACAGGCTTTCTATTGTGGGTGCTTTGTACAGGATGCTGTTCAGTAGCAGTACTGGCCGTAACATGAGATCTGTGTAAACATTTCCAATAGACTGTATGTATTCACCCTTTCAGTGCCTCAGATCAAAAGCTGATGTATAGTAGGCAAGCAGGCATGACATTTATTGGGCCTCTTTAGTATAATACAGACTGAAACTGGACTTTGAAAAAGGAAGTACGGTATACTAGATACACAAGAATTTAACTCTTTTTAGCACCAAGCCATATGTGACTTGTGTTAGGACTGCTTTGTTTGCTGGTTTGCTTAAAACAAAAATTAAGAATGGCAAAATACACTCCCTGCTTTTTTTATGTTGACATCAACGGTGTGGTAAAAGACAGTTATGTTTATACAGTATACACTAGCGTTCAAAGGTTCAAATGCCCATCAAGGCTGCATTTATTTGATCAAAAATACAGTAAAAATAGTAATATTATTAAGGTTTAAAAAAACAGTTTTCTGTTTAAATATATTTTTAAAATGTAATTTATTCCTGTGATGCAAAGCTGAATTTTCAGCATCATTACTCCAGTCTTCAGTGTCACATGATCATTCAGAAATCATTCTAATATGCTGATTTGCTGCTCAAGAAATATTTCTTATTATTATCAATGTTGAAAACAGGGAACCACAATACATTTTTCAGGATTCTTTGATCAATAGAAAGTTAAAAAGTCCAGCATTTATTTGAAATAGAAATATTTTGTAACATTGTAAATGTCTTTACTGTCTCTTCAATATACTAATCAATTTAATTTGTCTTTGCAGAATTATTATTATTATTTTTTTTAAAAAGAACCATATTTGGTGGAAGAACTGTTTTTTAATTTTCATAATTATTATTTTTAAAATGCTCAACAATAGGGATTTTTTTTTTCTGCTGGCCAACATTTTTTTTTGTGTATTTTTTTTTATATTTGCTAAAAATATATATATATTTTTTCATTAAATGTTACATTTTTTTTTTTTTTTACCACAATTTCCTCTTTACAAAATAAATAAATAAATAAATAAATAAATTTGCAACAAGCTATAATATATAATTCCCTGTATTTATTTATTTACATAAACATAAAAAATATATATTTTTTAACTAAACTTGACTATGGATTAAGGGAGTGAATTCACTGTAGCGCACAGCCTCTCTTGGCTTATTGCTTTATTTTACAACAGACTCAAACGTAGCTTATCTTATTTGAGCTGGATCGGTTTTATAAGCTGGGTTTTATAATTGCATCCATTGTTTCTTCTATGGATTGGATTGAATCCAGCCAGAAGTAGTTTGTTTGGGTGTCTGGCTTGTGGGGAGCATCTCAGCATTGGATCATGATTGCTGAAGCCGCTGTGTCCCTCAGGGCCGGTGTGAGGTGGTGTGTGGTCTGTGATGACTGAGATGCAGCTGTTATGGGGTCCACAAACCACAGACTGAACTCTAACCTCATATATGCTGCAGTCTCTGAGCGTTTGTGAGCAAAGCAGCAGTGCTTCTGTTGCCTATGCATTCACTAGAAACCCTCAGTTTCATTGACCTTTTCAGCAGTGAAAGAAAATGAAAAAAAGTCATCAAATTTGAATGCAGTCTGATGTTCATATTTGCTTTGAATATGTTAAACAACTTTTTTCCAGTTAGACAGTCACATGCGTAAGACCATATCTTCCTCTTTCTGTCCCCAGATCCACAGAGACAAAGACGCACTGTGTTCCAGTGTTTCCCAGAAGAGACACAACTTATCCACAGGTAAGATCACACTTCCATGACCTGATATCATGTCAGTTATGTAATTCAATACTAATATTTATCTAGTTGGGCTTAATTTTAGCTTATCAATTTCAGCAGCCATTATTTCAGTCTTCAGTGTCACATGATCCTTCAGAAATCATTCTAATATGCTGATTTGCTGCTCAATTATTATTAGTACTCAATTATTATTTATGGATCATTATTATTAATGTTATTTTTTTTTTCCATTAATTTTTAAATCTTACCCCAGACTTTTCAGTGGTAGTGTAGCAAGGTTTCCACCAAATTATTAAGCAGCTCAACTGTTTTCAACATTGATAATAACAAGAAATGTTTCTTAAGCATCAAATCAGCATATTAGAATGATTTCTGAAGGATCATGTGATATGGATGTAATGGATGCTGAACATTCATCTTAAAATATATATTCAAATATATAGAAAACAGTTATTTTAAATTGTAATAATATTACGCCTGCACACAGTGTCCTTCAATGTAAAAAAAAAAAAAAAAAAACGTAATTATTAACATTTTTTTAAATGGTAGTCTGTTTTATGCAGTACTAAAACATTTTCGTAACACTCAATGTATTAGCATAAGCTAACTAGTTAACAAACTAACAACATACTTCTAAAGCATTTATTAATTGTAGTTAATGCTCATTTTAACATTTAATTATACATTATTAAAATCAATAATTGTGCCTGATAATGTTTAATGTATCTGAACTGACATGAACTAATGATAAACAGTATTTTTTTTATATGTAAGCAAAGATTAATAAGCACTGCAATAAATCAGGGCCGGTGTGAGGTGGTGTGTGGTCTGTGATGACTGAGATGCAGCTGTTATGGGGTCCACAAACCACAGACTGAACTCTAACCTCATATATGCTGCAGTCTCTGAGCGTTTGTGAGCAAAGCAGCAGTGCTTCTGTTGCCTATGCATTCACTAGAAACCCTCAGTTTCATTGACCTTTTCAGCAGTGAAAGAAAATGAAAAAAAGTCATCAAATTTGAATGCAGTCTGATGTTCATATTTGCTTTGAATATGTTAAACAACTTTTTTCCAGTTAGACAGTCACATGCGTAAGACCATATCTTCCTCTTTCTGTCCCCAGATCCACAGAGACAAAGACGCACTGTGTTCCAGTGTTTCCCAGAAGAGACACAACTTATCCACAGGTAAGATCACACTTCCATGACCTGATATCATGTCAGTTATGTAATTCAATACTAATATTTATCTAGTTGGGCTTAATTTTAGCTTATCAATTTCAGCAGCCATTATTTCAGTCTTCAGTGTCACATGATCCTTCAGAAATCATTCTAATATGCTGATTTGCTGCTCAATTATTATTAGTACTCAATTATTATTTATGGATCATTATTATTAATGTTATTTTTTTTTTCCATTAATTTTTAAATCTTACCCCAGACTTTTCAGTGGTAGTGTAGCAAGGTTTCCACCAAATTATTAAGCAGCTCAACTGTTTTCAACATTGATAATAACAAGAAATGTTTCTTAAGCATCAAATCAGCATATTAGAATGATTTCTGAAGGATCATGTGATATGGATGTAATGGATGCTGAACATTCATCTTAAAATATATATTCAAATATATAGAAAACAGTTATTTTAAATTGTAATAATATTACTGTTTTTACTGTCTTTTTTTAATCTAATAAATGCAGCCTTGTTCAGCAAAAGACCTAAAAACAGTAAAAAAAAAAAAAAAACGTAATTATTAACATTTTTTTAAATGGTAGTCTGTTTTATGCAGTACTAAAACATTTTCGTAACACTCAATGTATTAGCATAAGCTAACTAGTTAACAAACTAACAACATACTTCTAAAGCATTTATTAATTGTAGTTAATGCTCATTTTAACATTTAATTATACATTATTAAAATCAATAATTGTGCCTGATAATATTTAATGTATCTGAACTGGCATGAACTAATGATAAACAGTATTTTTTTATATGTAAGCAAAGATTAATAAGCACTGCAATAAATAAATTGCTCATTGTTAGTTGATTTTAGTTAATGCATTAACTAACATTAACTAATGGGACCTTATTGTAAAGTGTTACCAAAGATTTGATAGCAAACAATTGTTTTAAACAGTTAATTTTTAATTATATCAAACTGCTTTTATATATTTATATTGTATTTGTATTCTTTTTTGTGCGCATGTTGTAAGTTTGGCAACATGTTAACGTCATTTTCTCTCTGATTCATTTGTGAGTCACGTCGCTCATGCATTTCATGTGATGAGTGCTGTTTTGTGTGGCATGTGTGCTTGCTTATGAGGTTCCTCGACACTTAGGATGCTGTCTGTGTAGGCAGTATACAGTTAAACTGTAATGTTAGCCACAGTTTCTTGTATAAAAACGTTTCCACCCTCTCTCTGACCCTTAGAATGAAACGGGCTGTTTTGATGTTTGTACCTTTAAGACTTCTATACAGTATGTAAATGACTTCGGTTATGATTGGCTTGCTTCCCAGGAAGGTGAGAACTTTGCATTGTAAACACTGGAGTGCGTCTACAAAGACTGAACCATTTAATTTCAGAAGAGAAAGGAAAATCTTGTTTTCTTATAGTGAGGTTCTTAAGGAAGTATGAGGAACAGAAGATAGTAATGGCAAGTGCTTGTATAGAGGAGCATGAAGGGATTGTTTATCTTTACTTGTAACTATTCTGAAGACTGTTCACCTTTAATACACCAACAGTGTCTGGTATAAAAAAAAACAAAATGCATTCAAGCCACAAACATGATGCAGTGCTAAAAAGAGAGATTTCCTGTTTAATGAAAAGTGTATTTCAACCATACAAAAAGTTGTTTTTACACCTATTGTGAACATAAGTGGCATATAGCTTGCTTTTTTTTCTTGTTAAACTACCCTGACTGGATTGTCTTGAACGCACAACTTTATCACTTATCACTGATCACTGCTGTGTCTTTGTAAATGCAGGAAGTGGGTTGAGATTTATTAATCACTTCCTTGTAAGCATCAAACATTTTTACAACATTTAACAAAGTTGCATTATAGTTGCATGGTTTCAGGTTTGTCACAGTGTGGTGTTTTTAAAACCATGCTAAAAAAGAAAATGACATTTTATTTGACATTTTATTTAAATTATGTCTTTATTTATTTTTCATTTGATTATTATTAACATGCTAAACATATTGTTCTATTATATTTTGTATTTAATTAATTATTCTATTTAATTTTTTATTGCTTGCTTTTTCCATTTTATTTATTATTTATTGTTTACCTTTTTATTAAACAGCAAAACATTTTCATTTCATTGCATTTTATTGCATTTCATTGCATTGCATTGCAACTTACAGGTACTGGAACAGGAGAAATTGCATTATGACAATCACATTCTAGTTGCACGGTTGCAGTTTCATCAATTCAATTCAATTCAAGTTTATTTGTATAGCGCTTTTCACGATAAAAATCGTTGCAAAGCAACTTTACAGCAAATTAAGTTTCTACAATATTTAGTGGTCATCGCAGTACAATGTTTTTAAAACCAAGCTAAAAAATGTATGTATGTTTTAAACATTTAATTTACATTTTTCTTTAATTATGTTTTGATTTATTTTTTAATTTTTATCTTTATTAACATGTCAAAAATATTGTTCTTTTTTAATTTTTTGCTCTTCTGTTTTCATACACTTGCAAAAAGTATTTTAGTTCATTTTATTTTTATGCTTTTTGATTTGTATTTATTTATTTAAAAGCACCGCAGAGCCACAGTGTTTACAGTTTCCAAGTACTGGAACTGGAGACATTTTTTAACATCTAAAAAAATTACGATGAATCATATCAAAAACATACTGAAAATAACCAAATGTAACTGGGTAGATTCAATATGCTGAATTTCTTCTCAGCGGCCTTTCATGACCTGTGTTTATGTTGTCAGTTGTTTATCTGCAGCTTAGGTAATGACGTTTGCTTTTACTATAGCATTGAGAGCGTAAAGAAAGGGCAGCTGTAGCGGTCTCAGCGAGCCCCCTCCTTCACATCCCAAAACATGGTGCCACCTGTGTGTTGTGTGACAGCTGACAAAGCTCACACTCTCGTGACAGATCTCCGAGTGCTGATCCCAGCCTTCACAGTCACTCTCTTCTCTTACACTAAGCTTATACAGAGTGTAAAAGTGCAGTGTTGCACTTTAAAAGACTAGAAGAAAGTGAAAGCGAGAGAGGGAGGGGAAACAGGCTGTATTTTTCTAGGTGATGGAATCTGTTGAGGTTTATCACGATTGTTTCGTCTCCCACGTGATCTGGTTTTGTTACCCACGCGACGGTACGGTACTGGCAGACGCTACAGATACTTCTCCTATCAAGATAGTCAGACTTTGCTGTCGTGAATACATGTGCTGTTGTACAAAGATCTGTTCTGAAGAGGACATCGCATGTTTTGTTTAAGAGGACATTGGGCTTCAGTAAGAGAACTTCTTTGGAGACTTTTATGATTGACTTTAACTGGATACACAAGCTATTTTTAGCACACTGCTTTTTATAGTAAATGCTGTAAATGTGTCTGTCATAGTGTAAAACTGTGTGTGTTTGTTACAGAAAGTTCACAGTATCCGGAGTTTCACACTTGCAACTCAGAAACAGTCACATTTCGAGACTCAGGAAGTGATACAGATGGATTTCTCAGCCCTGACACTGGAGAGGACAACATCTTCAGAAAGGTGAGAATGATTTTCTGAAGAAATGTGCATTGTTTGCCACATTGAGCATTGTTAATTGGTTGCTTACTGCAGTGTTTCTCAACCAGGGGTCCGTGGACCTTTCATTCTATTTTATTTTATTTTTCAGGTCCAGCAGGCAAAATAATTGGTCTGCTCATTTTGAAAAATAATAGAGCACATCTAGCTTCACACATTTGAGGTTTCATTCATGTCTGCACAAATGTGCAAGATGACTCATGCATAAAAGTTTAATACCGAGGTTTAAGAGCTGTGAAAAGTCCCTAACTTGAAATATGAGGAATAGTAAAAGTGATTCCATATCACAGGGGATTTCAAATGTTTTCATGCCATGGACCCCCAGGTGGTGGTGGTTTTTAGGACACCTAAACATTAAAATCCACTGGAGGGTTTTTTTCCCACTAGGTCATGTGGTTATAAGTTCTCTAGAACCCTTTTAAACCTCTTGCACACTCACACACACGCTTATAAACCACCCCCTCTGCTTCCTCGCACACATGCTTAATAGAAGCTATTTCAGGGGCGCATGAATAGAGGGCTTTTATCCCCCCCAGAACACTGACAAAAACCTCGATGTGTGTCAGAAGCTCAAATCCTCTTCACCTCGTCTCTCACACCACCAGCGCTCGGCACAATAGACTCATCAAAGCCTCACACCAAGGAAGCTCACGACTGCTTTAAGTTTAGGTGTGTGAGATCATAGGATATGGTTTGTGTGTCACATGATGCCTGGATGGATGAAAATAAGGAGTCTGTGAGTGTGAGTCTTGGTCGGTCTAGCAGACTCATTTCACCCTGCTGATGATTCAGTGACATACTTTTTCACTTTAAAGTGACAGACAGCAGTCTGAGAGATGCACACAAGTTGGAGGTAAACAAACTCTTACAGTTTAGATATACTTCAGACGTGAACGAGTGTTATAGAATAAATTTGAGGAAATAAAAAACGCTCTAAAAATAATAAAAACGCTAATTATTCGATGATATTATTGCTCTGTTCAATTTTGAAATTATGAACAGTTTTTTTCCCAACTTTTCAAACTTTAGTCTTTAGAATTTCTTCAATATTAAATTTCATATATAATTCAAAAGTTAATCAAAAATAGGTCAGGTCATGAGGTCAGGATTGGTTTTGTTATTGTTACCTAAAGCTAAAAAATTAAATATAATTATTAGATCAAAAACTACATTTAATAAAAATGAGAAATGTTGCCTTTGCAGCTAACTGAAATAAGTTTAAGTACTAAAATTACTAAAACTAAAACTGAATTAAAAATAAATTAAAGCTAAATAGAAATACACCCCCTACTAAATATTACATAAAAAAATGTAAGAATTGAAACTT